AAGAGCACTCTTGCATCAAATTCTGACCTGCCACTAACTAAACTACCTCAAACAAATCAAAGTTTCTCAAATTTCCTATCTTCTAACATCTCGATATATGATCCATAGACATCAGGTATCTCATCCTTGTGAGGCAGAAGATAACGCTTGACAAATTTCAACTCTGGTAAGCAGACAATGGAATGAAGTGACGTCTTTCTCTTGATCAACTTCCTTTCGTTCAGGATTTTCAAAACTTCATTCCTACGCTTAACCCTTCTATCCAAACTCACAGAGAAAAGCTTAGGGTGAGAAGCCAAGTAACCAGAATCATAACCAAGCTCGTTCATGAAAAAATCCAAACTTTTTCTCGCTCGATCCACTGACATGTTAAAAGTTACAGGTAGAGACCTAAACATTCTCCATATATCCGCATCCGACCATCCAAAACTTCTCAAAATTTCCAACTTTCTCTCGATATTCTCCTTACCAAGCAAAGAGATCACGTCAACTGCATAATAAAACATGGGGGATTCGCGAGGAATCCCATAATCATTCTCAATCCTCTGCAATACATCCTCAACCCAATCAGGTTTCTGTATGAAAACCCGCCTGGGATTCCTACTGATGAACTTGGCAATTTGCTCATCCCTCCAACCAAACTTCTTCAACAATACTACATTGGCTTGGATTCGAGTCTCTGCATAAAAATCAAGCAACCTAGGAAATCTCTTTATAGCTAAAACAACTCCCTTATCACTACCCAGCAATTGCCTAAGATATTCAATCCGAGGTCTAATAAAAGAGTCCAACCCTCTACCGAAGACAGATCTACAGCCTATTATAACCTTGACCAGGTCCGACCTAGATAGGCCAAGTTCTTCCAGAACCCTGATTTTGGGTTTCAGGGTCTTCTCCACATTGGTTAACAAGAATTTGGGATCTGAGGAAGCGATGGTTTTCATCTGGGTTTTATCTAAACCCAAATTTTCAAAATAACTGATGAACAAATCGATGTCTTTCTTGTATAATTTGGAGCATTGTACCTTTCCGGCGGCGGAGATGGCTTCTTCTCTGGAGAACCCAAGTGAGCGTTCGAGGCAGCCGATGAAGAGATGATTCTGAGGTTGCACGGCTGCCAAATTTGTTGAGTAGTTAAGGAAATATTTGCAGAACAAATTCCGCTCGCCGCCATTGTTGCGAAGCTTGGAAATGCGGGCAAGCATCGTCTCGAAATTAGACTCCGATAGCAAGCAGCAGCAGACTACTCGATTCGACTGTCGAGCAAATCCCCCGAATAGTCCAACTTTTTTGACTAATTCATGTTTGGTCCTTCATTATTTGTTTTTTCAAATAATATTTCATCTGTATTATAAACACATTTTTAACTCACTTTTTTATCTTATATACATCACATTTTAAAAAGTGTTACAGTAATTATTTCAAAAAATACCAAAATTCAAATCTGACTATCGCTTTGATCCAATTTTTTCTTGACTGCTCCGCTATATTGAAAAGATTTTATTGAAAAACCATTTTATCCCATTTTTAAAACAAGGATCAATCGTGAAACGACTCCGAAGCTTTTAGGCTTTATGTGGATACTTTAGTGGTTACAAGATCAAATTCATTGCCTGCAAGATAGAATGGAAGACGGTGACAGCGACAGCGACAGCGACATAGCCATAGCAAGGACAGAAGGCAAGATTGAAGCTTCTGTGGATAATTTAGCGGGCTTTTCGATGGAACACTGTCATTAAATAGATCGACAGTGATATAATACTTTGAGATTTACTGTGTCAACTCTTGCAGCATTAAGATGAAAAATGCAGATAACGAATATGACACTTTGAGACTTAACCGGCTCTCTCGTATATGATGTATAAAACTACTGCTAACATGAGCATACAGCCCTTCTGCCAAAACCCCAAAAAAAAAAAAAAAAAAGAGAGAGAGAGAGAGAGAAGGAAAGGGATTATACGTTCCCAGGAGAGGGGAAAAGAAAATCATTTGGTGTAGAGAATCCATCTATTGATGGCTAGGGTGCATGCACTCTGATTCAGAGTTTGTGAAGTCGACAAAGAAATCCATATTCTTGAAGCGCATCGGCCCTGCGAAGGCTTTTCGGAGAGTAATTCACTAATTTGGCTGGTCCACATCCTTTGGTTCATCATCGGCAAGCCTAATGAAAAAAATTCACTGGCATGGTGGTCCACCGTCCATGTCCATCGGCAAACCGGCAGGCTATCAGAATAATCCACTGGTTGACTCATATTTCGGGTCACCAATGGACTCAAGGGACTTTAATAAGATCCAATGAGCAGAGCAGCCAAGGCGAAAAAGCATGAGAAGTAGCATTCCCATAATAGCGGTAGCACCACCCTCTCTTGAAGCCATTGCCCTTGTTGTCAGAACTGAATTGCTATTGATGCCGTGAAGATTGCTCAGGCTTCCGCTTTATATTCTCAAAAGCTGTTCAGTGAGTGGAGAACCAGGTGTAAGTCAATCAAAGCTAACACGAGAGGTCTTGCACTAGGTTTTACTGGTATTAAGGGGTCACTCACCTTTGTGTGAATTGAAGCTCGGGGAAACTTTTTTTCCAAAGAAACATGAAAACGAAGTGATTTGTGAGAAGTATATTGGAAGAGAGCGCACTACTACTCTTTAGATGCACAAAAAAATGGTTATTTCTACAAACCAATGGCAAGCTAAAGTGAGCCTTTCCATTAAAAAAAAAAAATCCACGAAACATACAAAATGAGGAGACAAGAATCAAATCCCAAAATCCAGTCGTCAGTCTAAAGCATTACAACAAAGTGCATTACCTACTGCATATCAAAGTCTGCAAACCTTCTTCTACCTTGCAACAGCTTCCAGCCATGATTTATGCAGATCAGGTATCTTATCCTTGTAGGGCAGGCAGAAGATCATCCTCAAGAATGTGGATGCATGTTCTATTTCTGGTTTTCATAATAAGCATTGGCAATTTCTCCAATCAATTGTGAAGTAAGACTACCTTCTCTAAAACAGCTACCCATACAAACAAAGAAAATGACAAAGACAAAATTCAGATCTCGTTAATCTTCCTAAAGAAGAGAGCAAATCACTCTGAACAATTTAAAAGTTCTCAATTTTTTTCTTCAGATGTCTTGTGATGTACGATTCATAGACGTCAGGTATCTCATCCTTGTAGCGCAGAAGATAAACCTTGATAAATCTTGATTCTGAGTAGCTCGCGACAGAATACAGGCTTGCATTTCTCTTTTTCAGCTTTTTCTCACTCAGAATTTTCATAACCTCAACTCTTGGCTTTATGAGATCTTCCAAACTCAGAGAAAAAATCTTAGGCCGGGAAGCTAGGTAAGCAGGACTATAGCCAAGGTCATTCATGAATAAATCTAAACTTTTCCTCATTTTAGCCTCTGACACTTTTAAAGTATAAGGTAGATTTCTCATTAGGTTATGTATATCCGCATCAGACCAACCAAAACTCCTCAAAACTCCCCATTTCATATCGATAGTCGACTGTTTAATCGAAGACATGACTGTAAATCCATGGAAGAACATGGGCGTCCCTCGTGGTATGCCAAGATAGTTCTCCACTTTATCGAATACTAACTCAATCTTGTCAGGGTTTAACCACAGAGTTCCCCTCGGATTTTGAATAATAAGCTTGGTGATCTGGTCATTGGAAAAGCCAAGTTTCTGCAACAAAAGAATAATTCCAGCCATTTTCCTGGGCGCATAATAGCCAAGCAAATAAGAACATCTTTTCAAAGCCAAAACTACTTTATCATCACTGCCAAACAAATTCCTCAAGAATTCAAGCTGGGGTTTGATGTGAGAATCTAAACCCCTCCCTAAAAGGGTTTTGTTACCCATAAGAACCTTGACTAGGTCCGATCCGGATAGCCCTAAATCTTGGAGGAACCGGATTTTGGGTTTAAGGGTTCTGTCCAGATCATTGAATAGTAAATGGGGGTCTACCAAAAGAAGACTTTTGATCTGGGTTTTGCTGAAGCCCAAATCTTGGAAGAAATTGACAATTAAACTGAATTCTTTTTTCATGGGTTTCAAGCGCGTTACCTTCTTCAGGGATGAAGAGGAGTTGGCTTCTTCTCTTGAGAACCCAATTGAGTTTATCAGGAATTCTTCCAAGACATGATTTTTCTGGGGTTTTGCAGATGATACTGCTGCTGTAGCGGTGGAGCATTGGAGGAGGGTTTTGAAGACGAACAAATTCCTGGCGCCATCATTGATGTTAAGCCTTCTGGATATATGGGCAAGCATTGTGAAAACTAGAAATTTAAAGCTTAAGAAAAGCAGAAAAAACTCGGCAGAATCAGGAGGAACCAACTGACAGAGTAATCTCAGAGATCGTAGGTGAAACCGCCGCCGCCGACGAAATTTTTGCCCACTCAAATTTTGGAGGGCTTTTGTGTAGGAAATGCAATTCACAACTAAACCCCTCTCCTTGAACTCCTTGAAAGCGTGAAAAGGTCTTGAAGAAAGGAGCCACGCTCTCACGCTCTAAGTTAAGTTAATTTAAAATGCCAGTAGTGTTGACTTAAAGAAAAATGGTACTACGATATTAGAACTAATTTTGCATCATGTCATTCATTACTATTTCTAAGGAAGTAGTAATAAAAGTTTATGCATGATAATTAGGGGAAGAAATGGTATCAATTAAGCACAAAACAGTAAAACACCTTAATTAATTATCCTATAATTAGGAAAAATGGACTATTATCCTGTGATTAGGGATACATTAGGTCATTATCATATGGCTGGATGATCGAATGGAATCTTAAAACCTTAATGATTTAGCCTAACCCAACGGGAGAGGAAAGCTGAGAGCCTGAGAGGTCTTCCATTCCCACATAGGAACCAGCTCCTTCAGTACCTTTCTTCTTCTCCCCTGTGCCAACTGCCAAATTAAGAGAAATCCCATTATGGACCCTATTCACAAAAACTAGAAGCCAAACGCAAAAAAGAGAAAATAATAGAACAACATTTGCAGCTGCTCAAAACGAAAAAAGAAAAATTGCAACTATGATGACATCTTGCGATTATATTACATTCAGGAATCGAAACAGTAATTGTAATGACAGTCTGTCTAGTTTTTTGTATCAATTCCAGATACAAAGTGAACAAGTTTGAGGCTTTGCATGGATGCCGGTCTTAATTCTCATCTCAGTTTCAGAGAATTAGATTTGGATGAACTGATGGGAATGTTTGCCAACAACAAGGCTTCCCAAAACTCTCAATGAAAAAAACTAGAAGCTATCATAAAGGTCCCATAAGATTTCAGGTCCCTTTATGCTACTTCAAATGAGTGCTTTCCGGCAGCTAAGCTGAGTCCTTGACGTTGTGCTCGAAGGATTTTCCGGCATGGAAGTCATAACCCACAACCTACAACAGCTGTGAGCATGTTAGAAAGACAACCTTTGCAGAAAGCCGTAAGGAGAAGATAGGGGATCAATCGATTCATTTCATTCACCAAGAACAGACCCAACTCAGAGACCAAAATTCTTTCATATGACACAAGGATGAGAAAACAAAAGCCAAGCGAAAAAGGAAGCTGGATAGAAACAGAATACTTCAGTAAATGTCAACAAAATGATGGTGAATGTCCTCTACTCATCTATCCAATACTTTAGACCTTAGGTGTGCCTGGTTGCAAAAATTAGTGAGCCTCAGAGAATCGTACTCATCATATAGTGAGCCTCCGAGCTTGAACACGAGATTCTCTCCTGAGACAGCATCTTTGAAGTAAAAAAATTATCCAAATCACAAATTTGGAGAACATCCAGTTCTTGATTTCTGTCACGACTCACTGCAAATTTCTGCAGCTGAGAGGACTCCCAAGTTTTAATTTTTGATAACCAGCCTTAGCAAAATCTACTACATGGTACAGATTAAAGAACAAAATTTCCACAGTATTACCAAAATGAACAAGCAAAGGACCACAAGACAAGAATCAGATGACGTGAACTACCAAACTGAAAATGGAGCATTACCTCAAACCTAGGCATCAAACTTTTTGAACTTTGGATCCTCCAACAACCTCCATGTATGATCGGTATACATCTGGTATCTCCTCCTTGTAAGGCAGAAGAAAATCCTTGACAAATTTGGATTCAGGTAAGGTCACAAATGAATACAGATTCCAACTCCTCTTACTCAACTTCTTTTCATTCAGAACTTTGACAACTTCATTCCTCGGTTTGACCCTTTTCTCCAAACATAGTGTAATTAACGCAGGGCGGTAAGCCAAGTAATTAGAGGTATATCCCAGTTCCTTCATGAAAAAATTCAAAGCTTCCCTAATTTTAGACTCTGACAACCGTAAACGAAGAGGATGCTTGCCATCAATTGTTCGTACATCAGCATCAGACCAGCCAAAACTTCTTAAAATGTCAAATTTCCTGTCAATGGTGGACTTGGCAATCGTACTAACGACTTCAAAGCCGTAGTAAAACATGGGCGATCCACGAGGAATCCCAAAATCATTTTCCACCACGCACGACATTTCCTCAAAATTTTCAGGTTCTAGTATAAAAATGCGCCTAGGAATCCTAAGAGCAAAGTTAGCAACATTCTTATCCGAAAAGCCATAATTCTTCAACAAAGCAGCAGCCGCAGCCACTTTTTCAGATGCATCATAACGAAGCAGCGAAGAACATCTCTTCACAGCTCTGGTTACTTTCTTCTCATCGGTGCCTAACAAAATCCTAACATAAGCAAGTCGGGTTCTGAAAAAATCCAACCCTGACTTGAAAAGATGTTTTTGAAACATAAAAAGCCTGACAATTTCCGACCCGGATAAACCAAGATCCCGGAAAAACTGGAGCTTGGGTTCAAGTGTTTTGTCCGGCTGATAATAGAGTAACCCGGGAAGTACGGAAACAATGCTTTTGATCTGGGATTTGCTAAAACCCTGCTTAACCAAGAAATGAATGACTAAATTTGGGTCTTTTCTGAAGGTTTTAAGAGATACCTTTTTTGAAGCGGAAAAAGCTTCTTCTTTTGAGAAGCCAAGTGAGTTTACGAGGTATTCTTCCAAGAAACGGTTTTTCTGGTGTTCTGGGACGGCTGCTGCTCTAGTTGTGTAGTGAGGCAGAGGCTCGGAGAAGAGAACCACCCTGGTGCAGGCGCTCGTGCCGCCATTGATGCGAAGCCTTCTAAAAATCTGAGCAAACATTTGTGTTTTAGTGCTTAATTGGGGCTTATAGAGAAAATTTCCAGAACCCGCGAGTTAAATTGAGTCCAGATGCTCAATTTTACTATGTTAACCGGAAAATGTTTCAGGGGTTCGACCACGAGACCTTTCACATGGACAGCAGCCTCTCCTCATTGATTCATCCCGATCAGCACCGTCGCGATTGCTTCACTCAGTACCGCGACATGAAAGCCATGGATCCAATTGAACTGTTAGGGATACTTCCAACTTGCAGCTTCGGGAACTTCTGTTTCAAGAAGTATTTGGCAATTGTTCATCCTAAAATGGAGGAGTCGTTATTCGGGGACTTGGAGCAGCGCCGCCTAGTTTTGGCCGGAAACCACCCCAGGAGTCAATTTTATGGGGAGTTTTTGGGCCTTGCTAAGGCAGTTTGGCTGCTACATTTGCTGGCATTTTCGATGGACCCACCGTCTAGTCATTTTGAGGCGACTAAGGGAGCTGATTTCCATCCGCAGTATATGGACAGTGTGGTGAGGGTTCCTGGTGGTGGACGAACGGGTGGTGGCGTGCCTCAGGTGGTGGGCTTTCCGGTGAGTCTTGGGTTTAAGCTTGGAAGTGGGTCGCTAATTAAAGCTGGGGTATACCTTGTTCCCAAGTACTATTTAACCTAGTTAAAACTTCGAAGACATGGACGAGGTCGAGCTCTGAGGTGCTTCGGTTATGGAAGTTTTCTCGGCTATAGTAGATTCAAGTCTTCGGTCAGTAGATTTGTTTAAGGGTGCATAATTCCTCTGTATCTTAAGAGAATTAATCACTATGTTGTAAGATTGATAAAGCTGTAGCATTTAGCACTTGAATGTTTCTTATCTGTTCGCTCGATACTCATATTGCAAAGATCATTCCCGATAAAATTGGAAGAGCCTCTAGAGCTCTCTCAGTTTTTGGGCATGGAACCTGGAAAGCTCATACAGGTACCCTGCATGAAAAAGTATCTCATAAGATCAGAATAATCAGAATATACAAATCTTCCACTATTAAGTACAGTATATTGGTATATGAATTTCTTCCTCTATTTTCTCGCTACTCGAAGGTTTCCCCAATTTGGATGCAAAATGGGTGCTGTCTTGCTTGTCGTAGAAATTCTATTGTGTACTTCTAAAAAAGCCCTTGCCTCGTCGTTGGTTTCTGTACAGAAACATGTGTTTTGGGTGGCGACACCGCATATGTCCTCAATTGGCACAAGAATTTTAGTTAATGGATTTAATTCATGCGATAAAATGTTGAGGGACCAAATCAGCTTTAGTAAAATAGTTTGAGGACTAAATTGATGATTTTTCCTTTTTTTTAATGGAGAATAGTTGAAGATCAAATCAAAAGAAAGGAGTTTAACTATTCAGATCATGTGGTATGACAAATGCATGCTTGCCCAGAAATAAATACATGTTATCAGGATAACGTGCCCTGAACAATTGGATAATTCAGCTATGATGGCATGCAACTCATTTGCAAATATGATGTCCCGGAATTAGTAGATAATTAGACATCTACAACATATTCACAATTTCTAGATTCGAAATCCTCTTCTCCAAAATTGATTTTACATCAGAAAAGTATCGATTGCTAGATGGCATTTCGTCTCTCTGTGCTAGAAACCAGTTAAACAAATACAAATCCCCTTTCTCTGAAGCCACTTTTCTTTCCTAGGATTGACCGGAACAAGTGTGAGTACTTGGCAGCAATTGGTGATTTCTCATACTTTTCAAAAAGCCAAGTGCAAAGATGCTTGATAGCTGCAATCCTTCATTTTCTCCCTCCTTGTTCAACATGTCCCTCAAGGCAGCAATTACACTAGTAGTATCTCTTTCCAAGTGCTAAAATTGAAAAATCACAATTGCAGTAAACATGTTCGAGACAGAACATTCTTCGAGATGTCCCAGGGGCCAAGCTACATAAGTCAAGCATGTAAACCCAAGCCCCAAGGTAAACCCAAGCTACATTTTATCAGCCTTTTATTTGTGGTCTTTATAAAGTTTATTATGATTTAAGAAAATTAGATCAATGGAAGTATAGTTATATCAGATACCAATTATATCTAGGAGTCAGGGCAACAAGATTGTTACCAATGATACATGCATTATCTTACACAGTTTGCAGAATGCATACTTTTATACAGAGGGTCCAACCATTCAAAAGCCGATAGTCTGCAGTCACTCAATAGCAGCAGAAAAAATTAAGTTCAACTTGACACATTACAAGGCATACCAAAAGAATGAATAGAATGTGCAGACCTTGAGCACATCAAAGTGGCTTAATCTTTTGTGCTCCAACCCTTTACAAATATGATTCGATTCATACGTCTGGCAAAATATCCTAGTATGGGAGAAGATACTTGTTCTGAAACCTTTTTCAAAGTTGCTTAATTTTTTTCTTTTGGGTATCTTTTTTTTATTGAAAACTTTTTTTTTTTGGGATATCTTTTGAGTACCTGCAAATAAAATCATAGCATCATTTCATTAGGACATAGTTTACTACTATACTGGTGATGCTATATATTTGCTATGTTCTTTCTGTATCCTGTTTTTTCATGTTTTTGGGATGCTTGGATGTGAAAGGTAGACGATTCTAGAAAGCAAGATCCAGATGACTGCTTTAATCAATCTATCACTTCAGAAAGCAAAAATAATTTTCATCTCTAGAATTAGGGGCTGTTGAATGTTGATGAAGAATTAACCATGCATTTGAATACTCGGATGAACCCTCAACCATTTTCAGTACTATAACCACGTCTGTCCAGCCAAAATTTCTAAATATAGCGAATTTCATGTCAACTGTAGACATGAAGCTTTTATAAGGTACAACCACGTTAACTAGGCTTGCCCCAGATATGCCATGGTCCAGGAGAAACTTTGACTCTAGGTCTCAGGGTTCTGTCCACACTGGAAACACGGTTCTGAGTATGCAACTTCTTTAAAGTGCATGATGAATCGATCATCTGCACTTCTATAGCCCATAGCCAACTGCTAAATCAATTCCTGGGCAATCAAACACAAGTTAAGAACCAGCAAATGCACTACAGAACTATAAAATAATAATCCTAATGATCTACAATCAGACAGGCTTGTTCTGATGTGCAAGAAAAAGACAAATTAGAATGAATTTTCTGGAATTCTCCTCACAGGAAAGTCTGGTACACAGACCAGAGCGACCTTTTGGCATTTGGAGGATTCAAAATTTCTGGTCAGACCTAGAGGTTTGACATCATTTGCCAGCAAAACTTGCCGCCAACAGTGGGCACCTAGAGGGAGGTGTTTCAATAGTACTTCAAACTTGCTTAAAACAGAAACAACATGTTGGTTTCCAGCATAGAAACTCCTCTAATTTGCAAAAGCAGTAAAAATCAGTTAGCAATCAACAAAAAAAAATTTAAATCGCAACTCCTAATAAGGCAAAAGAAAGTCATTCTTTCCTGCGCATCTTCTTTCTAGTTAATCATTAATGAATCATATGAAACATCCCACAAAATCCAATGACCTGTGGCATTATCTCCCTGATGTCAATAATAGCCACAGTGTAAAGCACTACACAGAAATCTTGGTGCCTGTTATTTCCATTACTGAACATTTACCGATCAGAACACTATGCATAAACAACCAAGAGTAATATTGGTATAAGTATTGACTCATAAAATCTTAGAAAGACTGCAGAAACTTTGGATTTTCACCAGCTAAGAGTATAATCACACTTTCAGATGATGAGGTATCAAGACAGTTCCTTGGAGCTAAGCACCAAAGCATGTAACATGGAAAAGCAACCTATTCCTGTTATCCATCATTCACGTGATAATGCTGCAGTGAATTCAGAATTAAAACTAACCACTCAATAATAGCCACCAGAAAAATAAGCAAACATAAAAAAGAGCCAAGATTAATATCACATGAACCACCAATGAAAGAAAGTGTGTTACCTCGAAGAAGGTCAAAGTTTTCCTTGTCTTCTTCTTTCCAGTAATTTGCACACATAATTTCTAACGATCAGGAATATTATCATTGTAGGGCAGAAGATAAACCTTGAGAAACTTTTACCCCGATAAGCACAGGGCAGTATAAAAGCTTGCTGCCCTCTTGTTCAACTTCTTCTCATTCAGAAATTTGAGAATTTTGTACCTAGGCTTTACCCATTTGTCCTTATCCAAACAGAACCGCACTGGATCAGAATCCAAATAGTCAGCGGTATATCCAACTTCATGCATGAAAAAGTTCAAAGTCTTTCTTATCCTATCTTATGATATACCTAAAGTATAAGGAAGGTCCCTAAACATTGTATGTGCATTTGCATCTGTCCAACCAAAACCCCTTAATAAACCAAATCTCATTTCAATTGTTGACTATCAAAGTCTAGATAAAACTTCAACTCTATAGTAAAACATAGTGGAATCGCGAGGAATCCCAAATTCATTTTCCACTCTAACCAATATGTTCTGAAAATACTCAATGTCACATAACTTCATAGGAGTTCCTCAATGTAAATTTGAAAACATTTTCCTTATGAGAGCCCATAATTCCTAATTTCATCCATTTTCCACAGCACACAATAATCGAGCAATCTCACATGATTCTTTAAAGCCATGGCCACATTTTCGTCACTACCCAAGAACTCTCTCCAATAATTAATACAGCGTTTAATATGATAATCCAATCCTTCAACCCAACCCAAAATGTTTTATACAACGTAATAACCTTGATGACGTCCAACCCAGATAAGCCAAGGTCTTGAAGGACCTAAACTTTGCGTTTTAAGATCTTCACCGGATGGAAAAATAGCAATCCTGGGTAAGAGGAAATGAGACTTTTGATCTGGGTATTGTTTAAACCCATGTCTTGAAAAAAATTGACAACTAAATCAGGATTTCTTTTGGTTGGTTTCTATCTTACCTTATTTGAGACAGAGATGGCCTGATTGACTTGACAAGGGATTCCACCAATTCAAAAGAAAGTCGCGCTCTGTCCTATGGATCTTGTTTCTATGTGGCAATGTCTGATGTAAGACAATATGTTACCTGTTATCATGAATCAGAAAACATCACTGAACCATATATGCTTTAAAAATCAATAATCTGCCTGTCCATATAAAATTTAGAGTCACCACCTTCACTCACTACACATTATTTGAATTGAACACCTCGTGAACTACACCAGTCAATGGCAAACTAAGACATGCATATTCCAAGCCATAGAAATACCAGGATATTACCAAAGACATACCTTCACAGGATATATGCCAGTCACCAAATCCATTTTAAGTAGCAGGTGGTAATCTGACAAATATGCTGTAAAAGAAAATTGTCTCATTAGAAATCCCTTTGACCTAAGCACCCCCTACTGCAAGGAGGAAGCCAACCTATGTATGTATTCTTCTAAACTAATCAGACAATATTTCTACTAATTGTTGTATGCCAAGCTAAACTTCCAACAAGTACCCCAGTGGAGAAAAAGCAGAAAAAACCAAAATTCACAATAACTTCATTGACAGAATACATGACATGACAAACTGAAACAGTCTGTTACTTCAAGCACATCAAAGTTGCTTTTTCCGGCTACCAACCTTCTTCAAATATGACTCATACATGTCAGGTAAAATATCCTTGTAAGGGAGAAGACACCTGTTCTGAAACTGCAATTCTGACAAAGACAAAATGTTAACAAGACCGGCTTTGCTCAACTTCTTGTCATTCAGAATTTTCAAAACTTCATGCCTGGGCTTCACCCTGCCTTCCAAACTAAAGGTGAAAACCGAACGTCGGGAAGCCAAGTAATCAGCACTAAATCCAACCTCCTTCATGAAATAATCTAGGATTTTTCTCATCTTAGAATGGGACGTATCCAGAACACGAGGTAAACTCCTAACCATTCTGATTATCTCTGAATTGGACCAACCATAACTCCTTAAAATCTCAAACTTCATATCAATTTTTGATTTACTACCAGAACATAGCACATCAATTCCCTGAGCAAACATGTTAGTATCGCGAGGAATCCCCCAATCATGTTCAAGCCGGTGCAACACCTCCTGCAATTTTTCACTCTTTGCAATGAAAAGGGTGGGACTTTTGAGAACAAATTTGGCAATGAAATCATTAGAAAATCCATTATTCTGCAACACTGCAACATTTTGTTCCATTCTCTCTACCGCATTATTACTAGGCACGAAAACAATCTTCCTCAAAGCTAAAACTACTTTCTCATCATCTCCCAACAATTTTCTCAGGCACTCAATCCGGGGAACAAGATGATTATCTAACCCTCTGAAGAAAATTCGGTGATACCTCACTACCAATTTGACGAGCTCGTACCCTGACAGGCCGAGTGTTTGGAGATAGCTGATTTTTGGTTTAAGGGTTTTCTCGACGCTGGAGAGTAGTAACTGGGGGCTCTTGGAAATAACTTTTTTGATGTCGGTTTTTGTTAAACCCAAATTAAACAAGAAATTGATGACTAAATTGGGATCTTTCTTGATGGCATTCAAGCGGATTAACTTACTTAAAGCGGAGATGGCTTCTTGTTTTGAGAACCCAAGTGAGTTTATCAAGCATTCTTCCAAGAAGCTACCAGTGGTAGGCGTAATTTTCTTTGTTTGAGGGGCGGCGACTAGTGCGGCTGGGGTGGAGCAGTAATCTAGGAGGGATTTGAAGAAGAAAGGACTGCCGCGGCCATGGACGTGAAGCTTGCTGGATACGCGAGCAAACATTTGCACTGTACTGCTCACCTGCTAGTGCCGGCCAGCCATACAAGGGAGAGGCAAGGCCGCCACAATTCCAGCGAGCAGAAACCTAGGAATCGATGCAATTCGTGACGGCAGAACACGCCCCTGTTAGTTAGTCACTCTTCTGGATGGGTACGAGGATATGTGCCTAACCCGAGGTTATCTTTGGGGGTTATTTGACTGGAACCCTTACAGTAAATTGTCGATATCATATCTCAGCGGTTTGGTATGATTATTTTCGCAACACAATTTATTATGTAATAATCGCAGAAAAACAAGTTATTTTGTATCCTTGTCATTCCTCGTTCGTTGCTTTTCAGATTTAATTCCGCTTTATTGCAAAATTAACAGCGGAGTAATTAGCAAATACGAGATGAACATGACTGGGGGAAAATACGCTCAGCCACTTTTGGGTTCAGTTTTGGCATACCATTTCTTGATATTTGCAATCCAGCTTCTAGGATATTCGCTCATGCAAATACTCCTACACGTTATCAAGACCAAAACGGAAAGCGACAATCCAAAGCTTTGACATGCACATCATTAGAAATAGAGCAGTCAGAATGTACACGGACACTTTCAGTCAATGTTTACTTGTCCAAATTATGTTGGCTAAATGCTGAAGGCTAGGACCACAATAACACTTCTTTAGAGCATCTTTCCTTTCAAAAAAATTGAGCTGGCTTAGAGATGGTGCAAATGCTGCAGCTGCACGAATTGCTGGAACTACTGGCAAGAAACCAAATGCTGCTGGAGAGCTGCAATGCGTATGCTTACTGGAACCCAATCTGCGTGGACCTCTGTACCTACAATCGTGTAACATATCAACTTCGTACCTTTGAGTCTCGCGGGACGAGCTGCATAAGATCAAACCCAAAGGCAAACTTGCTCTCAAAATAAATGAGCGTAATTTGGGACCAAACAATCAGTTCTTAGTGAAACAATAAAACAATCAGGATTTAGTGAAGAAAATAGAAAATGGAGGAGAAATTGTAAGGCCAAGAAAGGAGAATGAAAGAGTTTAAAAGAAATTGCTGTACTTATTATCATCTCATTTATCCTGTTCTCAGATCTTAGACGAGTACCCTGGCAACAATTGATGCAGCTGTTTGATAAAATTATGACGTAGTAAAACTTCCGCCTAACGTCAATTCGTCTTTCTTTTTTTGTCTTTGTTACGTATCTTGACATAATAAATATCTACAAACAAAAAGGGGTCTAAGCAGATTTGTACTGTCACATCGCATGATTCAATACTCATGGAATTCAGGTCCAGTTGTTCCAGAAGTCAAAACAGAATTCAGTATCCATCAAAGAAAGGTAATGTTATCCACGAGTCAACACTACAAAATAACACAAATCTCGATTTACAGATAACAAAAAGCACCAATGGGACTTTATGTATTCATACTGATTTCTTCAAATTTACATCTTCTCTATATAATGGGTTTCATAGCCTAATATGATTGTCAATCACGACAACCCGTTAGCAAGTGCTTTTGAAAAACTCAGTGTTCATGAATCATGAAAAATTGCGTCCAGCCACAAATTGGAGCTACTAAAAGTAATTTTTCCACCAAAAGCACCCAAAAGAAGCTTATCAAGAAGATGATAATAGCAACCACAAGAGGACTTGCCAGAACAATAATACAAGAACCACATCACATAAATATGCAACGAAAGAGATTGTGTCACCTTAAGCATTTCATAGTGTTCCAATCTGCTGTGCACCAACATTTCTGACATAGGACTCAAACATGTTGGGAAATTCATCCTTGTAAGGTAAAAGATAATCCTGCACAAACTTCAATTCTCTCAAGCACACAACTTGACAAAGGTCCCCCTTCCTCGTGCTCTTATTCTTTTCATTTAGAATCTTCAAAACTTCATTCCTTGGCTTAACTCGTTTTTCCAAACTCAAAGTAAATAAGAAAGGGCGCGAAGCCAAGTAAGCAGGAGTATATCCAAGTTCATTCATGAAATAATCCAAAGATTTTCTCATTCTATTCCCAGACATGGTTAAAGTTAGAGGTAAACGCCTAACCATTTTAAAGATATGCACATTAGACCAGCCATAACTCCTCAGGATGTCAAATTTGTTGTCGATTGTTGATTTCTGCCTGCCACATAGTATCTGAACCCCATAATAGAACATGGTTGACTCTCGTGGAATCCCCAAAAAATTTTCCACTAGACGCAATTTCTCCTCAATCCGTTCAGGGGTCGTCAAGAAAATGTGTCTAGGATTGTTTGCAATGAAAGCGGCAATCTTCTCCTTTGAAAAGCCATAATTCTGCAACAACAGGACATTTTTGTCCACTTTTTCGCACTCAATAGGACCAAGCAGCAAAGCATATTTCTTCAAAGCTAGAACTACCTTCTCATCAGTACCCAACAATTCTCTCAAGTAGTTAATGCGGGGTTTAAAGTGACCATCCAAACCTCTACCCCAAATGAGTTGTTTACAAGCCAAGATTACCTTGATCAGGGCTGGCCCAGAAACGCCCAGGTCTTGAAGAAACCTGATTTTTGGTTTGAGGGATTTGTCCACCTCACATAACAGCACTTTGGGGTAGGAAGAAACAATGCTTTTGATGTGGTATTTGTTCAGACCCAAATTCTCAAAATAATTGACGACTAAATTTGGGTCTTTTTTGATGGGCTTTGTGCGATTAACCTTCTTCAAAGCAGAAACAGCCTCTTGTTTCGAGAACCCAAGAGAGTTTAACAGATATTCTTCCAAAAAACTGTTTTTCTCCAGCTGCGCCGTGTTTGAAGTGGTAGAGTAGTGAAGAAGGCATCTGAAGGAAACGGTTCTGCTGCCACTGAACTGAATCTTGGACACGTAAGTCATCATATTCTCTGTCTGGGACAAAAAGCAAACAGCTGATAGGCACGGATAAAACAAACATTTAGGTGTACCTGTCAATGATTAATATAGGATTGCCATGGCGGCGGAGCTGCGGTTTAAAAAAATTCAAGGCCTGCAAAACTTCAAATATTGAAAATGTATCTTCAGCATGGCTCCCTAAAGCCGTAGAATGTCAGCCAGTGAAAACTTGCGCCTTCATGCTTGTGCGGAAAACTTGCGCTTTAATGCCTTTTTTTCGTTTTCCTTTTTTTTTTGGGGCGTCATGATTGCATTAGGACAGACACCACACAGGAAAAAAATATGGGTCCGGTAAACTACGAGGATTTTCTTCATTTTATCAAGGCATAATTCCAGATTCCTTCCTTAAAGTTTCGAGTAATATCACTTAGTACCCCTATACTTTTAGAATATCACTTATCGTTCTTGTCGCCCTATCAGCATCACACAACCCTCATTTGACACCTTTACCCTAGTGTCTGGGCTTATCTTGTGGAATATTTTTTCATCAAAAAGGTTTGGCATATTTCTTTTCCTTTTTTTCTTTTTTTAAAATAAAAAATTTTACTCTATCATTTAAAAGAAAAATGCATAAAACTTTAGCACCAATTTAGGAGCCTGTGTGTTTGATAGTTTAATTTTTCGACGCTAATCTACCGACCATTAAAAAGTGCAGTTGTGGAATGAAACTATGCTCTCTCCATTAAAATTCTTTTTAAGCTTACTTTTTTTTTTTCGTAGAAGCCAAACATCTTACAAAAAAGTAATATTGACGAAAATCTCAGGAGATGTTTCAACGTTATCCCTTTTATCAATGGCATGCAAAAAGATTTGGGCTATTACTTCACACAATGCCAAAAAGATTTGTTACCTCTAGATTTGGGTATTATTGAAACGGATTGCTAATTGAGGGAGTACTTTTCAAGAGTAGCTTCAAAAATGAGGAGGCGGCTTACCCCTTCTCTAAGCTTTTATTGCCAATGAAACAACTAATTTCTAGTTTAATAATATCTTTTATTACCCCGAATATTCAGGAGCCATAACTGATTGACTGGTAAAAGTTTTTTGACAGATGGCCCTTAGTGTATATAGTCTCCTGAATACTTGAGAACAGCTTACTGGTTCGTGTAAACATTCCGCAGAAATGCATGACACAAGCGGATGAGAGAGTGGAAAATGAATAAAATTTCAGTAAGATCCCAGAAACACTAGGCTATTAGCAGCAACAATTTATATGCTCTCAACTTGGTGCTTTACTTACTTCTAGTAAATGGGACAAAATGTCAAGGTTTGGATGCCTATCCTCGTGCAAGAAATAAGCTGAAACACGGTTTGAAGTGGCACATCAGAGTGCAGTCCTAATCGTCCTCTTTTGGTTGGAGGAAAATAGGCAATGATCTGGAGCAAATCCAGTGGAAATTCTTTTCAGCACCTAGGCTTCTGAAAATCTCAAATGATGAAACTGAAAGCTGCTTGAAAGCAGGAACAGTTTGTTTTTCCCCTCCAGGCAGCAGGGACCTTTAAAGCAGAATGATTGAGTCCATTCTGCAGTGTTCCCTTAGGGCTTAGAGTATAAGCCTTTTCAAATACTGAAGTGGCAACCAAGGTGAACATTAATCTGGGAGCAAGCTCGCTGTCAACGGTTCAACCTAACTTCCCCAGATGTTCAGAGCCCAATGTACCATATTAGTCTACCAAGGAAAAGATGCCACTGCAAGATGAAAAAACTATTAAACAAAAAAGAACACATGAAAGAAAAACTGACAAGACTGATTTGGTTGTTCTTCTGCTTGAATATTGTGATTTTCGGCAGACCATAAGGGTTATAGGTCCATTGGTGTGAGACCCGACATTCAGGAAACCGGTCCATAATGTAACAAATTCAGGTCATTGCAGAATCAAGTACAACATGGTGTAAGCCTCTTTAGGGTTGTCATGGTTGGGAGAATTAAGATCCAAACCCATATTAGAGTATTACCATTAAGTCAACAAATAAGTCAAGAATACAGTTCCCAGTGCCTTGATTTCAGAAAAATTACATTCAAGACAATGACAAGAAGAATCTAATGACAAAGCACGAAAACATGTTCCCTATTTAGTTATGTTCTCTACAAACAGTAAGGAATTTCATCCTGACGAAATCTTTGACTGCATTATCTGAGCACAGAAAGTGCAGTCCCTCAAGAAAACAGAAGTTTCTCAAAATAATAGCTTGCAATGGCTTTGATGTAAAATTGTTATATATCAGGAAAAGAAGATAATCTTCCATATAGAAAGATTTTAGTTAGCATGACCTTTTGAGTTAAGAAATTTCAGAACTTCAAATAAGGCTTCACTTATTCAAAACTGAAACATAACAAAACAGCATGGCATGCCAAGCAATCAGGGGCATAT